CAGCTGAAGCACTGTATCGCCTGCAGAAGATATTGGCACATGAAATGTAAGGCCGAAAGTTGCGTCAAGTTGTGGTCGACCCGTCCAAAAGAGTACTGTATAGCATTTGTGTAGCCGGACATGCAAAAAATGCATACAAGCAAAAAACTGACCAGTAGAGCTTAGGAACGGTATTTGACAGTTTGCGCATATGGATAGTACAGGCCTCCGTCAAATCCCGATTTCGGAATTCCGGGTATATAAGCGCCTATAGTATCGAAATTCTAGAATCCGCTCGAATTGCGCATTTGCTGCGAATGGCGCAGTCCCGCCCTATTATTCGCCGGCGGCAGTATAAGGTCATTTTCGCCGGAAAGGTGTCTTCGCGGCTTCATTTCCGAATTAACAACCTCGAATTCGCACCAGCATGCCCGCCGCCAAGAAGTCATCGAAGCGCTCCAAGCGACAGCTCTCTGTAGCCGAGTTCCGCGCTGCTTCTGCCGAACTTTTTCGTGAAGATGAAAAGCGCAAAGCTAAAATCGCTCGAGTCGTTCCTCCTGCCCGAGGTTTGGACTCGGATGACGAGATTGACTCGCCGACGCCTCGCTACGACCTGTGTGTAGCTGCTGAAGGACCGGAAGGTGTGCTCAAGCACACGAACTTTTCGCAAGCTGAATTCGATCGGATCTGGGAAAGAATTGAAGACTTTGTCGCTGCTAACTGGGGCGTGGGACGTGGCAAGAAACCCGAAGAGGCTCCAAAAGACGTGTTTTTCATGTCGGTCTGCGCGATGAAACACTGTGGCAAGTGGGATACCGTCGCTCACATGTTTGATAAGGGCTCATCCACCTTTCAGAAGATGGTACGGGGCTTTTTAGAGGTTGTTACCCCTCGCCTGTACGAGCTATTCGTCACTTCACAAGAGAAGATGTCGGTAGAGAAGCTCACGCTTAGCGGGCGCACATTTGACAACTTCAAGCGTGCTCGATACGCCACCGACGTGACGTTCCAGCAGTCGAATCGGCCCCGTGGAAACCACCGGGAATCGATCGGGTACTACAGCGGCAAGCATCACCTCTACGGCTACAAGGTCGAAGTGTCCGTGCTTCCTACAGGCCTCGCTCTAAACTGCACTCCACACGCACGGGGCAGTGTCGCTGATATTACATTGTTCCGAGAGAACGCCGAATTCCATGTGAATGCACTCAAGAAGCAGTCGTCTGAGGTGAACCTCCCAGACAACGATCCACTGCATGACACGCATCCTGATGAGTGGGCTGTACTGACGGATAAAGGGTACCAAGGTTTGGAGGTGGACTTCCGTGCGATCCACCCCAAAAAGCGTCGGGGTCGGCAGCCTCTCACGATTGCTGAAGTTAACCAGAACGACAGGATCTCACACGATCGAGTGATCGTGGAGAACTACTTCGGCCGGATGAAGACACTTTGGGCGTTGATGGCGGACAAGTACCGCTGGGACGAGCAATGGTACGACCTGTACTTTAAGACGTGTCTGGCGCTGACTAATGTCCACGTTCGACTTCGCCCGCTGCGTTCCGAGGACGGGGAACACTACCGCCGATACGAGTACCGCCTGAGAGCCATCGGAGTTGATGGCGAAGAGGAAGAAGAGGAAAGACAGCAAGAGTACCGGCTGAACCGACGGGTGAGAGTGGAGACTAACTCGCGCCGCCATAGCTACGCGGACGCCGACGCGACTTCACGCCGCACCATTAGTGAGCAAGACGAGTTAAGTGAGTCATTTGGCTCGGAAGGGGAAGAGGAGATCGTGACGCAGCTGTGAGCTGAGCAATTCGGCTGGGGGATCTTACGAAGCGACCTATTAGCGCAGATACTTAGTCAATTCTCCCGTTTGGCGTGATTT